GTTCCAGCCCACAACTATAGACCCACTTGCGGTTGTCTGGTGTATCCGTTCACGGGGGACATCCTGCTTCGCGTACGAGCCAAGCATCAGTATAAGTTCAACTTGGGAACCAAATTTCCTGGTTGGATCGGCATTCGTTCAGTTTCCCTTATCGGTCAACCAATCACACGTTTGTTCACCCCCTCCCTGATTGACCACCTTTCCTCACCCACGCGCTTTACGTGTCTTGCATCGTAGCGCACTGGCTGACTAACGTCAATTCGGCGGATCGGTGTGATATGTGCTAGCTAGTTAGGCTGGCTCGAAACTGACTGACTCAGTTGGTGACGGACAAGTGACCGTGAGCTAAAATTGAGGCGATACACACATATATACACTGCGGCACTGATTTACGTATATTTCCAAATCTACAGTCCCCAAATGCACAGAAAAAACAGACAAGGGTTGAAACCATCGTGTGTTCGTATGTTGCAACTGACCATGTGGTCTAGATTATCGTATTCCACCAAGTAGGAGCAATTATATGGAATCTGAAGTAAAGTTTGAATCCGTTTTTGATCAGCTGTCAAATGTGAAGCCGACAAAGGAGGAGGATTTGGGCTGCCTTAAAGGAGAACTAATGGAAATAGATAATCAATAGCGAATTACAAGAGTACAGCAAACCTCCTTACTGACCGATGCACATATCTAAGGACTAAAGCAACCCACATTGAGTGTAGCATCAACCGTTTGCTCGAATGCATTCGAAAAAGTCCACCAGAGTGCGATTACAACAGGCCATACATCCTTTTTTTGTCAGCCGTCGAAGCGATCACAATGTGGTTGAACAATCTTTCTCCGAGAGTGTTTAAAAAGACACAATCAGAGCTCTGTATGTTCAATGGTTAAGGACAAACTCTTGGATGACGTAGTGCCTGTTTTAAACCAAATTATTCATGTGTTGATCCATTCAGTAATGCATCTTTCGTTCAAATAAGATATAATTTGAACTCCCATTGCCATCCCGCCCCGTAATGTATCGCGGAAATGACCATGATGTGCCTATTATCGACAACACTGATTCATTTCAGTTAGATACTCGTAATAGCGCGATGTGAAGTGTTAGTGAATCAGACATTGGCAAAAGCCAGTGGTTATCAGTTTAGTTACAGTTACCTCGAACCGTTCTCTTTCCGTCCAAAATTTGAGCGGTCGAACCACTGTCTGGGCAAGGCACATCAACTGTCCTGGTCGATTTGGCCACAGTGTTTGCTTGATCTGAATCGTAATTGCCGTCGGCTGCATTTGCCAAAGTGAATAAATCATAACAAATTGTTTGTTGGACAGAGAGCGGTGAACAAACAAATGAATGAAAGATTTAATGAGATGAGGACAGAAGGCAGTAGCAATATACCAGCACACCGATGAGTATTTTTTTAGTACATACTTAAGTATAATGAAAAGAAGACGGGGAGAACCCCATAGCCCTGAGAACCTGCTGTTCATCGGTGGAAACCGGCACCATAAGCCCCGGGACATGGAATGACGAACCACATAAGGCCCCTATAGGTTAGGCGTGATATTGAACCGGTCGACAGTAGAGCTGCCGGCGGACGTAAACGATGTATGCCCCTCCCTTATTTCCACTCAAGGCCACATTCACTAATCTGCGACGT